AGCACAGTTTATTTGTGCCATAGTGGTAATAGTGCACACATAGAAACTCCATTTTTAGGACCCCTTGGGTCATTCATGGATAGACAAAACTGTGAAGCTGTATCAAAGAAGGCCACAGGTCTTTTCTGTTATTTTTTTTTTACCCCCAATGAATTGCATGCTTCTTCAGAATCCATCACATTGAGTTTTTCATGTACTTCCTGTGTCCCACACAATGCCTTATATGTAGCAGGAAGTACAAGGCATTCTTTTGATTAAGTATGAAGTCATGAACTGACTGATAAGAACTATTTTAGTTTGGGGTAAGGAGGGTTGTATGAACTGGTTGAAATGAAAGAGCAAGTTCATATCAACTACTGAGCTGGTTATATGTTATAGTTCCAAAATCAATGTGCAAAGACCTATTTATCTTCTTCATTTATCTAACAAATACTTAGGCTTTGAACTAGGTATAGGAGAAATAGTGATGAACAAGACAGACAAAAGTCTCTGTCCCCATGAATCTTACAAAGAAATTGACATGGAATATAATGTCAGACAGTAATAAGTGCTTTGATAGAAAGAAAAACAAGACTAGGCAGAGAAGGTGTTACAGGGTTATGGGGTGGGCCACTTGGGATGGGGAAGTCAGGGCAGGATTCTGAAAAGTTGCCATTGGAGCACAGTGTGAGTGAGATGAAGTTTTACAAGGGTCTGGTAGCTGAGCATCCCAAGCAGGAAGTTTCTGACATGGGAAATGAATTTGGCAAATTTGAAGACTGCCGAAGCATAAACTGGCAGCCCCCAGGAATGCCCAGTGAACAGGAGGGCTGTGTAAGAAATGGCAAAGACTGGATGGAAACCTATCCTCTTTAGTTAATCACCCAAGGCTTGTCTGTGAAACATTTGGGTCATGGTATATGATGTGTATTGAATATTGAATGAAGGTGTTAAGTAGACTTGTACATGGGAGGAGTCTGGAGCTGGGGAAGTCAGAGGTTTTTACTCAACTTCATTCAATAGGGGCTAGATGATTTTTGAGGTGGATCACTAGATAAGATGACCAGGAAAACTCCTATGGGTAGAGAAGGGCACATGGCCAAGGACTGAGCCCCAGGGTGCTCCTGTGTTTGCTTGTAGAGACTGGGTTTGTCCTGGTGGCCTGGGTAGCAGCTAGGAGAGTCTGTTCTGGAAGTTAGGTGAAGAAGGCATTTCAACCTCTTCCTCTCTGCACCTCCTTTGTTCAACCAGCCTAGACCACACTATCATCATCCCTTTCCACTATGGGAAATTTTGCTGAACACTCTCATACCATGAACAGTATAGCCAGCTGTGATTTCAGGAGCTGGAAGCCAACATTAAATGTTTATAATATGGGAGGTATAAGTTCAGTGTCCCTTATTAGAGATGCTTGGGATGAGAGCATTTGCATACATATAATGAGGTATTTTAGGCATAGGACCTCAAGTCTAAACACAAAGTTTATTTATTTCATATACTTCTTATACATGTAACCTGAAGGTATATGTGTAGCCTAAAATATTGTTAGTGTGCTTATGTTTTGATTGTGCCCATTACATGAAGTCAGATGTGTTTTTTTCCACTGTGGCATCTTGTTGTTGCTCAAATAGTTTTGGATTTTGGAGGACTTTGGATTTTTGAATTAGGAATGCTCAGCTTCTACTAAGTCTTCTTTGGGAGTATCTATAACTGGGTCAAAATGTAGAAATTAATGTCTTATGAATTGTAGATGATTCTAACCTTTAATCTTTTACTTTCCTATAAATAACCCTTAAATAATAGATGAAAAACTAAAACTACTTCTTCTATTTCCAATATTATATTAGTTTTCCTGATTTATATGTGCTATTAGGAGCAAAAATATATTTGAGTAACATAAAGTTGAGATTTTGAAAAAGCACACCAAAGGAATTACAAGCTAATGATATATGTAGACACCATGTATTTGGGAGGTATTCTAGTAATCAGCTTATTTCCTAAACCTGGTCTCAAGACTCTTGTTCTCTACTCAGGAGTTGGTACCATTGTCCATTCAATTGTATGAAACAAGCACTGGAGGTATCCTGGTGCTGCCTCTTTGTCCCACCACCTTGACTCTATCAGAAAGTCCTATGATCTGCTCTGTCTTTAGAGCCCACTTGCACCTCTTCATCTGGCTTCGTCTCTAAAACCACTCACACCTCTTCATTTCCCTCCATCTTTCACCCATTCACAACTCTTCATCTGCATCACTCTCACCCATTCCCCCATCTCCATCTCACTCCATCTCTCATGTCCATTCACACCTCTCTGTCACACTCCATCTCTCATGCTCATTCACCCTTTTCATCTCCATCTCTCTCAAC